GGAAGTACCTCCCGAAGGAGAGACATAAAATGTGCCCACCTCCGGGAGGGGAAGCATGCTTATCGAAGCAAGGTACAAAAGGACTCATCTCTCGGAGGGGGCCATAAGATATGCCCACCTCCCGGAGGGGAGTCATAAAATGTGCCCACCTCCCGGAGGGTAGAGCGGAAGACGGAACCCATATGATAAAGAAGGAATGACGCTAATCAAGTCGCTATCAAGTCTAATCCTTGAGGTTGGGGTCGGCCACGTTGGGGTCGGTCACGTTGGGGTCGGTCACGTTGGGGTCGGCCACGTTAGGGGGTCGGCCACGTTGGGGTCGGCCACGTTGGGGGGTCGGCCACGTTGGGGTCGGCCACGTTGGGGGGTCGACCACGTTGGGGTCGGCCACGTTGGGGTCGGTCACGTTGGGGTCGGCCACGTTGGGGTCGGCCACGTTGGGGTCGGTCACGTTGGGGTCGGCCACGTTGGGGTCGGCCACATTGTGGTCGGCTACGTTGGGGTCGGCCACGTTGGGGTCGGCCATGTGGGGCTCGGACCCATGGAGTACGACTCGTGTTTACTCTCCTTCATTAACGAACCTCGGCCCAAGATGCCTCGGCACAAGGCACCTCGTCCCAAGAGGGGCAACCTCATGAGCTCACCCAAGAGGAGGACGACTACCTCATGAGCTCGCCCAAAAAGTGAACTCAGAAATCAAAGTCTCATACACGATGTCAGGGAGTCCAAGACTTGTTAGTGTTCTTGCGAAAGAGAAGAAGTCCTGATTGCGATGGAGTCACACCAAAGTCGGCCAAAGAGGAATGCGGAAGAGAAGAAGTCTCGCTCATGATGGATATATTATGATTGGAGCAAACCGACCCGGGAAAGCGGAACAAGGAAGTATGGAATAGACCCGGGACATAGTGGTTGGGCCCCATGCTCGGCCCAAGGTGCCTCGGTCATGGTGAGCTCGGTCACAAGAGGTCGGCTAATTATCAACTCGGGGCAACCGCGTGGGAGTCGGCTCGCAATGTGTCTACTCTCTATCGTTGTCGACTTATCACAACGAAGAGAGTGGGGGACTCGTGATGGATATATTGGACCCGGAACGAACCGACCCGGAGAGACGGAACCGAGAAGACTCGGCCCGAGCCCTTGGGCCGTGGCCAGGTCGGCCCAAAGCATCTCGGCCTTGGGCCGAGCCCGGCCACAAATGGGCTCGGTATACCCGAGCCGGCCACCATGGACTCGGCCACTGCCGAGCCGGTCCATGGTGGACTCGGCTAGGCCGAGTCCGGCACGTGCCGAGCTCGGCCATGCCGAGTCGGCCCGCCTTGGACCCGGTCCCGGGGGGACGCGGTCAAAGCGGACCGATCCAACTAACCCCGATCCTAGGGGTGCGGTTGGGGGGTTTGAGCTGATATAAAAAGCCTCCCTCTTGTCCTAAACAGGGACACGACGACACAACACAACAGATTCCTGAATTGCTATCTTCTAGCCTTATTGTCCTAATCAAGCCTTGTAATAGCTTATTAGCGATAATTAATACAATATACGGTCCCTGCGACCTACGGTCCCCGCGACCTTATTATATCTCTGTGTCATATTATTTATTTCGTACGTATACTTATCCGGATTCATTGATTCGGGTCTACCCCGGGTCAATTAATTCCATCACTAAGAAAAAAGGGATTGTTTTAACCGGAAATATACTTATCGTATCGAGTTGCTTATAGGAAAGTCTTTACATTATACTTATAGCATCAACTTCAATTCAACAACAATAAATATAATCTATTAGGTGTATACAAAAAGTCAATAGTCATATATGACTTCATTCTTCTAAAAGGTTGAACTCCAACCTTAAGGGCTTTTACATCCTGACCCGACAGAGTATTTGTGAAGATGTAATCATGATAATTCAACTTAACATGAACAAGAGTTGTTGTTGCCACTTGCTAGTATAGTGTTGTTGTTGCTCCTTTTATTTATTTTATTTATTTTTTAAGAATTCACTATTTTTCTAGTTAAAATTTTTCATGTTCATTATATAAGGAATGATTTTAATACTAATTGATCATTTTGCATGTTACTTTTCGTAAATGAATAGAATAGTCAAGGTTCCAAAAAACGTTAGGCGCCGCCTAGGCGCCGATTTTTTATTTTTATTTTTAATTTTTTTTTAAATTAAAATAAAAAATTATGAAATTCACTAATAAAACATAAGGTTCATATAGTTTTTTCTTACAAATTATTTACATATGTGGTTGTAAAATCGTTTTGAATATTATTGAAAGCATCTGAATACATAAAAAAAAAAATTAAGATCAAAAGAAGCATTTTTTGACGAAATTAGAGGGCCAAACCGCCTTTGGCCGTTTGCGGTGTATAGATCTCGAAAAAATACGCGATTTAAAAAAAAAATTATCCAAAACGGACAATCAAGTCAAAAGTTATGTCTTCCAGAACTTTTTCAACTTTTCAATGCAAAAAAATAAAAAATAATAAAAAAATAATCGCCGAACCGGCCGGCTAATGGTGGTTGTTGTCTTTGTTCAATAAATCCAGCTTATCTAATTCTGAACCGTCCACATGCAATTAAACGAAAAATGCTACGTGTATTCTCATTTTGTACTCCTAACTTGTACTCCCAAATACAAAATTTTGATGTAGACACTTGTATTGAGACCCACATGAAAATAATAATTTATCAGAATTCGCCCTATCAGAAGTAAAATTTAAATAGTAAGACTAAGGACTACATGTAGTAAAACTCTAATTAAACATCTGCTTCCTTACCAATTGATGTTGTCTATTATAGTAGAGTACTGCCAAGCTGCTTGGTTGGGTTGCTGCGACTTGCGAGTCCCAAAAAGTCATAAGATGTATGACGATTGACGACATGTCTTTTGTTCTTGATGTCTTATGAGCTTTTAGGATTCGTACCAACCCATCCAACCAGGCTAATTGACAATATTGGAAAAGAACAAAAACATTGTATGAAAGCAAACAATGTATATTTGTGGACGTACGGTTCAGATAAGCTGGATTTCACATGTCAGAAGAGTTTCATTCACACACCTACTGTACGTATGATCATTTATTCTTTTTACTAGTTTTTTACGTCCATTGCGCGATTGGGATAATGTCCAATGTTTTTTTTTTTTAAATAAGTACTTTAAAGTATATCAAAGCAAGATTATATTGGAATTGTTCATGCATATATAATTGAATGTTAGATTTGCGTATTTAAATAGACAATTCTAAGTTTACAAATGCAAGATAATATAGTCAAGATTGATTATAATTGTCAATAAAATAATTGTATAGGTATGGTTGAAACCAAATATGGGACGTAAGGGGAGAGCAAATAAAAATTGGGGCATAAAATATTAAATATATACTAATATTGAAACCAAACAAGGACATTGCGAGATAGTTTCTCATTTCAATTTGTTGTGTGATTTGAATACTCTTTTTGTCAATAAATCCCCAAGTAGTTAACATGATTGGCTTAATTATATTTTTTTATTTTTTTATTTTTTAAAACAATTATTATTATTATTATTATTATTATTATTATTATTATTATTATTATTATTATTATTATTATTATTATTAAAATATATGTATACCCTTAGATCATTTTACATGTGAATCTAAACAGCTAATTTTTTCAAATATCTTTTTACCAACCGTTGATATAATTCGCTGGTCAAATTCGCTAATATAATCCGCTTATGCTAACCGCTAACTGCTGATTGTCAGACAAGGAAATTGCGATGTAGTTTTCAGTTCACTTTGTTGTGTGATTTGAATACTCTCTTTGTCAACAAATCCCTCAAGTAGTTAATATAATTGGCTTTATTAATTATATATTTTTTAAATTTTTTCATGGTATTAATAAAATACTTGGTAAATAAATATATAGCATTATTTTGTATTATAACTTTGATATTTTATTAAAAAATAGTGAACAAAAAAAGATAATAAACAATGTAGTGAATATAATCAATTGATGAATTTGAATGTAATTAAAGAATTTTTACATTGGAGAAATATAAAGACAATATAACTAATAAAATTATTTCTCTTAATTAATTTATTGATAATAAATAATTTTTTTAATAAAGATATTGTAGGGACAATGTAGCGAATATAATCGATTGATGAATTTGAATGTAAAGAATTTTTATATTGGAGAAAAATAAATACAATATAACTAATGAAATTATTTCTCTTATTTAATTTATTGATAATGAATAATTTATTTTGAATAAAGACATTGTAGACACATAATTCTAAATTAAAGAAATGCATATGTATTATTTTTTGTTGTAGTTACTAAATTATTATTTAATGTAATAGGAGTAAAATAGAGTACTAATTATGCCAACTTTGATTGGGATGGGGTTCGAACCTAAGACCTTTCCTATTGAAATCAATGAGTAAATTAACGGTGAACTAACAAAAATTAACGGAAAATATGATATTTAACGGAAAAGTTAACGGATAATCATATTCATTAAGGATAAATTAGAAAATCTTAAAGAAAAATTAAAATATGATCAATCTGAGCCATTCATTTGATTAAAAAATTTGACCGCACTTTTTTCTACCCATTATAAGCCTAACTCTCTTGGGCTCTTATTTTAATCTTTAATTCTTTATAATTTATAATTTTATATACTTATATATTTATATAATTAATTATATGTATGACTGTATGAGTATGACTGTATGAGTGTATGACTGTGTATGTAGTTTGTAGAAATGTAGAATTGCTAATTTGCTATTCAATTGCTATATTGCTAATTTGCTATTCAATTGCTATATGCCTATATGCCTATATTGCTATTCAATTGTTAATTTGCTATTCAATTGCTATATGCCTATATTGCTATTCAATTGCTAATTTGCTATTCAATTGCTATATGCCTATATTGCTAATTTGCTATATAAGTTATAAAGTTATTAACTTATTAACTATTAAGTATTATACTATTATTAATTAGGAAATGGAATTGGAAAGTGATGATATTTCTCAACCACCAATTCAAACTCAAAGTGTTAGATCTTCTCAACCATCTACAACGTCAACTACAATAAAAAGAAAGTCCAATGATATAGGTTGGGACTATGGGGTACTTAATGATCCTACTAAGTCAATGGACAAGATTAGATGTTTATTGTGCAAGAAAGTAATGTCTGGTGGGGTTTATCGGATCAAAGAGCATATTGCTGGTATTTCAGGGAATGTTAGCAAATGCCCCATAGCTTCAAAAGAAGATCAAATAAAATGTAGAGATGCTCTCATTATGGCGAAGAACAAAAAGAAGAACAAGAGAGCTGAAGAACTTAATATAAGAGCGGAGGTAAACATTGGTTCGCATGAGAGTTTGAGTAATACGCCTACAAATAGTACTGATGTTGATGAGTTGCAACAGTCTGAACAAATGAGGCCACCTCGTCCAATTGGCCTTATGGATAAGTTTGCTAACCAAATCAATCCTGAAATTTCTTTGAGTTCAAGAAGGGGCCCGGCGCAACAACGGATAATTGAGGCATTTGACAAGGAGAGGGTTAACCGAGTGAAAGAGTACATATGTAGATGGGCTTATGAAGCAGCTGTTCCATTTCATGTTATTGAGAAAGATAGCTTCAAGTTGATGATTGAAGCTGCTGGTCAATTCGGTCCGGGAGCGCAGACACCAAATAGATATGAATTGAGTGAAACATATTTGAAAAAAGAGGTTGATCGCGTCCGAGACAGTTTGAAGGAACATGAGGCGTTGTGGAAAGAAAATGGTTGCTCAATTATGACTGACGCATGGACAGATAGGAAGAGAAGAAGCGTCATGAACTTGTGTGTAAATTCAAGATTAGGCACTGTTTTTTTATCTTCTAAAGAGTGTTCAAGTGAGGCACACACAAGTCAGTTTATATTTGATGAATATGTGGAGCATGGTATTGAACAAGTTGGAGTGGACAATGTTGTTCAAATTATCACAGATAATGCCGCAAACAACATGGGAGCTGCTAAATTGTTGAAGGAGAAGAGGCCACGGCTATTTTGGACATGTTGTGCAACTCATTCCATTAATTTAATGCTTGAAAGCATTGCAGGTACCTTTCAATCTTTAAATCTTTATTCTTTAATCTTTATTCTTTAACTTTAAATCTTGTAATTGTTCATACTTGAATCCTTTGCAGGTTTACCCCGATTTAAAAAAGTTCTTGATCAAGCAAAGAGGTTAACTATCTTTATCTATGCACACCACAAAACATTAGCAATGATGAGAACCTATACAAAGAAACGTGACATAATTAGGCCAGGTGTGACTAGGTTTGCTTCTGCATTTCTAACTTTGCAGAGTTTACTTGCTAAGAAAATGGAATTAAGGGCTATGTTTACAAGCAATGAATGGGATGAATGTAAGTTTGCCAAAACAGTTAAAGGGAAAGCTTCCTATTGTTGAATGTTTTTGCACCGTTGGTGAATGTGCTTCGTATTGTTGATCAAGATAAGAAACCTTCAATGAGATTTGTTTATGGTGAGCTTATGCAAGCCAAAGAGGACATTAAGAAGACATTCAATGAAGTGGTAAGAAACTATGAGCCTATTATTAAGATAGTCGAAGAAAAGATGAGCAATAGGCTAGATTCTCCTCTTCATTTGATGCCTTTCATGTTGAATCCTTATTATCATTTTAAGGATCCTCGACTTCATTTGGATGTTAATGTTTCTCTTGGATGTATTGAGTTTCTTGAAACATATTACCATGGCGATATAGAAATGCAAAACAAGGTATTGAATGATGAATTTCCCATTTACAAGAGGAAAGATGGTGTATTTGGGAAGACACTTGCGATCAAAGGATGTGAGACAAATAATGAGCGATATGATCCGGGTAAATGAGTTATATACTAGTTTTGAATTTTAATATTTAAAATTTTATATATTTTGATTTTTTATACTTAATTTTTTTTATACAATTTTGATGTAGCAATGTGGTGGTCAACTTATGGTGGGACAACTCCCAACTTGCAAACAATTGCGATAAAGATTATATCTCTTACTTCAAGTTCATCGGGTTGTGAAAAGAATTGGAGTACATTTGAAGGGGTTAGTTAAATACTTAAATCTTTACTTAGTTATTTACTTCTTTTCTATTTTAGTATTTTTGCTTGCACTTTGCAAGTTTGCAGTTTGCACACTTGATGGAATGTTATATTTGACATTTGTTTTGCATATTTGTAGATACATACAAAAAAAAGAAATAGGTTGGAATCTAATCACCTAAACAATCCAGTCTTTGTGCAATTCAATACAAACTTGATGAACAAAAGGAAAAAAGAGCAAAATGTTGAAATATTACTTGGTAGTGATGCAACCTTCGCACAAGATTGGATTGTTGAGGATGAAGTTGAGGTTGTTGGTGAAGATGAAGTGGCTACTAATGAGGAAGGTGATGACGCATTAAGACCATGACGGAGTTCTAGATTGAGGGAGCTTGAAGAAGAGAACTTTGAATCCGAAAGTGAAGAAGAAGAAGAAGTGGTTGTTGAGTTTGAAGATGATGAAAATCAAGTGATAGATGGACAAGTGGAAGAACAACTCCGATCCGTAGCAGCTTATATCTAATAAGATGAGGCTACAAGCCAAAACATGACATTAGCAGAAATCTCTATAAAGAAGCAAGCGACAAATACTAGTGCAATTGAAAGACGATACATGTTGCATGGCATGTACCGCTCATAGCAATTATTATACTTGTATAGAAAATCCAGTACAGCAGCAGATGCACATGCAACACCAAGAGATAGAATAGTCATCACCTGCATTATATATATTATTATATAAATAAGCTTCAAAATTCATGAGTCAAACATGTAATTAATATGCGTGTGTGCATAAAAGAAATAAGGGAATTGAAGTATCTCGTCACCAATACAAATAATGACCAGAAGGAAAACAGAATGCACTCGCACTCTCCTTCTCAGCATTATGAAAATCCATGCAACAAAGCATTAAACTCCAGAAAAATAGAACCCCCATCACAAGTGTCAAGCACCTGAAACAGATCACAGTGATATACAGAGTAACAAGAACTAAAGAGCGACTATATATATATATATATATATATATATATATATATATATATATATATATATATATATATATATATATATTTAGGTTCTTGTGCGGTTAGGGTGTCCAGGTGTTGTGGTGCGGTTTAATCTAGGCTATTCATCTCGCTTAAATCAATGTCCAGTATTACCAAAATTATAAAAAAAAAATACGGTGGCAATTTTGTAATTTTTGCATCTAGGGCAAAATTAAGGTGAGCGGATCTGTGATTAATGTGCATGTGTTTTGTATATAAGATGCGTGAGTTTTGTGCGTAAGGTGCGTGAGTTTTGTGCTTAATGTGCGTGGGGTTGTGCTTAACATGAGTAGTTGTTAAAACTTAAAGTGTGGACTTTTGTGCTTAAGGTGCGTGAGATTTGTTATTAATGTGAGTGGAGTTTGTGCTTAATGTGCGTAGGATTTGTGCTTAATGTGTGTGAGGTTAGTGATTAATGTCAGTAGTTGTTGAAACTTAAAGTCTGTGATACTTAAAGTGCGTGGGGTTTGAGTTTAATGTGCGTGAGGTTGTGCTTAATGTGCGTGAGTTTTGTACTTTCTGTGCATGAGTTTGTGCTTAATGTCAATAGTTGTTGAAACTTAAAGTCTGTGAGTTAATATTTAATGTGCGTGGATTTTGTGCTTAATGTGCGTGATGTTGTGCTTAATGTGTGTGTGTTTTTGTACTTAATGTGCATGAGGTTGTGCTTAAGATCTAACACTTAAGGTGCGTGTTTCTATCACTTAAGGTGCGTCATTTTTAGCTTATGCTTCTTTCTTCCAGACACGCGTTTTTTTTTTTTTTAATTTTCATTGATTTGAGCCGTTGATCTAAATTTGATCAACGGCTCAGATCTAACCGCACAACCGCACGGGAAACTATACCCGCACTGAACCCTTCCCTATATATATATAAACCAAACAGAATTATATCACATACCTCAGTTTTAACCAAACACAAGAATCTAACATTCCCAGCAATATAACATTCTTGGGCGTTTGGTTCAAGTTACATAAGATAACCAAGGTTATATTTGCTTGGTAATATAAGATTCCCATGTTTGGTTCTAGTTATGTAACTTACCAGGGAATCTCAGATAACCTCCGTATTAAGTTTTTAACTATTGGAAGGGAATGTGAGATACTCTCTAATTCTTAGGTAATCTCACATTCACTTGTCTTATTACTAATGTTGGACTTTGGACGTTTTAATCAATTTATCTTATTACCGTTGTCTTATTTACATATCTTAGTTTTAAACCAAACACAGGAATCTAACATTCCCAGCAATCTAACATTCTCTAAGGTAATCTAACATTCCCTAAGGTAATCTAACATTCCGTGAACCAAACGACCCACTGGTGTTGTAATTGAATTATGGTAATTTTATCATTGTAAAATGCGATGTACAATATTTTAAACTTAATATACAAACATATTAGTCCTAAAAAGTAAAAATATAAACAAAAGTCAAGGATATAACATGAATCCACACACACAAAAAAATAAAAATAAAAAATAAAAAGTTAGCACTCATTTAAGGACATTATAGCATGTAGTAACACAATTATATATATAATAATCACCAATGAACATCATAACAATAGAAATATTATTTAAAAAATAGAATAAGGGTCAAATAGGTCATCAAATTTGTTGAGTTTGTCTCATAGATGGATTAGGAATATGAGGTTGTCTCATACTAGGAGTAGGAGTAAAACGGATAGACCCTTTGTACAGGGATTAGACTAAGGTATAAATATATTGGTTGTATCCCTAAGGGGTTGTGTCACCACTAGCACCATTACTATGAATAAGAGTATTGTTTCACTCGCGTGGATGTAGGCACTTTGCCGAACCACGTAAATCTTGTCCTCTTTACTCTTTCTGCTATTATTATTGCTTTATTGTTCGTGTTAATCTCAACAAATTGGTATCAGAGCCAGATGCAGGAGGTCAGCTAAACGAGACAGTTAGCATGAGTCACGGCGGTATAACAGGTCGACGGCTGAGGGGCGAATGGCTTGGAACAAAGCAGTTCGTGTATATGCATTAGGTAACGTTTGATGCTGCGTATGCATGTGGCTGGCTAGTTGGGATGAGCATGGTTGTTCCTACCAATGTGTATATGTGAGATAAGTCTTTTTCTCCTAAAGGGCATAATTGCGAATGTGGAGATGGTGAGATAAGTCTTTTCTCCTAAGGGACATATTTGTCAAGGTGGAGATTTGTTGAGTTATCTTTTTCTCCTAAAGGACATATTCGCCAAGGTGGATATAGTCTTTTCTCCTAAAGGGCATATATGTGAAGGTGGAGATGGTGAGATAAGTCCTTTCTCCTAAAGAGCATATTCATCAAGGTGGAGATTTGTTTAGTTATATTTTTCTCCTAAAGAGCATATTCACCAAGGTGGAGATTGTTGAGTTTGTCTCATATATGGATTAGGAATATGAGTTTGTCTCATACTAGGAGTAGAAGTGAAACGGATAGACCCTTTGTACAGGGATTAAATGCCTATAAATATATTGGTTGTATCCCTAAAGGGTTGTGTCACCACTATCACCATTACTATGAATAAGAGTATTGTTTCACTCCCGTGGATGTAGGCACTTTGCCGAACCACGTAAATCTTGTCTTCTTTACCTTTTCTGCTATTATTATTGCTTTATTGTTCGTGTTAATCTCAATAGAATTACACATGAAAATGCAATTAGGCCATTGAATTCAAAAAATATGCAATTGGGTTCTTGAACAATACAAAATGATGCAATTGAATCCAAAACACTGTTGCAAAAATCGCGCCTAAGCGCCGATTAATCAGCGCCTAGAGGGCTCCTAGCGATTTTTTCAACATTGATCCAAAGTGAAATGTTTTACTTGTTAATTTGCTGACATAGAGGTTATAATATTAAAATAATAAATTTGTATTTTATTAAATAATTTTAAATAACAAAATTAAAAAAAAACAAAAAAAGAAGAAGAAGAAAACCCCTTCGTCTCGGGCAGCCTGGAGACCTCTTGGTCTCCATGCTGGAGACGAAGCGCATGGGGACGATAGTGTTTTCTTCTTCTTCTTTTTTTAAAAAAAAAAAAAATTATTTCGTTATTTAAAATTATTTAATAAAACAAAAATTACTATTTTAATATTATAACCCCCACGTCAGCAAATTCCAACTTGTGCACATCTTTCATTTTTTATTTTTTTGGGGAAAAGGTACAAATAGGCCATTGAACTATTTGGGGGATAGCAATTAAGCCACTGAACTCGAATAAGATCCAAATTAATCCATGAACCTGCAAAAAAATTACAATTAGCATTTTTAGTAGGTTACCAACAAGTTGATGATTAGGATGCCATGTGTTTTTTTTTTTTTTTAATGTTTTTTTAGTTTATTATTATTATTATTATTATTATTATTATTATTATTATTATTATTATTATTATTATTATTATTATTATTATTATTATTATTATCCTACTAAGCATTTGACAAAAAAAAAAAAAAAACTAAATTAGTGTAGTTTTTAATTTAAAAAATTAAAAACTTAGGTTTCAATTTATATATATATATATATATATATATATATATATATATATATATATTTGATGGTTTTTGGGTTTTCGGGCCCAAGGAGGTCCAACACAACCTTAAGCTGGTGGATACACCTTTCACAAAAGGGTTCGAGTCTTAGTAAAATATGATGCTTAATAGTACTTGTCTATTCCCTCTCCGGGTTCTTGAAATCTGCCTCATACAATGGTGGATGAGCCCTTTTTATAGTGGCTCCTCCTCTACCGTCTTAAAGGCTCATGATGGCCGACTTAAAGGGTACATTCAATGCGCCGAGCCGTTGGGCGACGTTACAGACTCTGCCAACGGCCCTCTTTGGCTAGTAACTGGCGGACCGAGCCCGGCCTTTAGTGCCTCAACGGCTCCTTGTCTTAACTGTGTTGAAGGCTCCCTCAACGGCTCTCTGGACCGAGTCCTCTCCTAGGTCGGGCCTGGGCCGACTCCTCGTCCCCGTTTGGTATTGGGCCGTCCTTCCGGTCTCTGAACTGGGCCTCCCTCTTTGGACCTGGGCCGAGTCCTGGACTCGGCCCATGCATTCCTTCTGGGCCTCTTTTCTTGGGCCGGGGTTCTCACCCCATCAACTAGTCCCTCACTTTTCCATACCCGGTCCACCAACCTGGGTTTGGAAAAGTAGTAACCCTCTCCTGCTCACCGAATCCGTGCCTTGAATGACTCAGGATTGGCCCAGATTATTCGCTATCTCCCGGATCTCGCGGGACCGTTCTGATCTCCTCGGCCTGGCCTGACACCTATAAATGACCTTGGCCGCTCTTTTCTTAACTTACTAATTCC